CCTCAACCGCAAGGATCCCCTCGCAGTGTGCACCCCTGGACCTCAACTGCAAGGATCCGATCGCAGTGTGCATCCCTGGACCTCAACCGCAAGGATCCGATCGCAGTGTGCACGCCTGGACCTCAACTGCAAGGATCCGATCGCAGTGTGCACCGCTGGACCTCAACCGCAAGGATCCGATCGCAGTGTGCACCGCTGGACCTCAACCAGGTAGTTTGCCAGATAAAATGCCAGATAGAATGCCAAGTAGATTGCCAGATTGAATGCTGCAAGAAGATATGCCTGATAGTATGCCAAATAGTGTGTCAGATAGATTGCTAGATACATTGCCAGATAGAATGCCAGAAAATATGCCAGACAAAATGCCAGATAGAATGCCAGACAGTATGCCAGATAGTATGTCAGATAGATTGCCAGATAGAATGGCAAATTGAATGGCAGATAGTATGCTTCAAACACACAACCACAAACACAACCACAAGCTCACAACCACAAACGCAACCACAAACACACAAATACAAACACATAACCACAAGCACACAGCCACAAACACAACCACAAACACGCAACCACAACCACAGCCACAAACACAACAACAAACACAACCACAAACATAACGACAAACACACACCCACAAAGACACAACAATCGACACACAACCACAGACACACAACTACAAACACTCAACCACAAACACACAACCACAACAACAAAACCACAAAGACACAACCACAAACACACAACCACAAACATAACAACAAACGCACACCCACAATCACACAACATTAGACACACAACCACAAACACAACCACAAACACACAACCACAAAGACACAACCACACACACAACCACAAACACACAACCACAAACACACAACCACAAACACAACCAGAAACACACAATCACAAATACACAATCGCAAGCACAATCACAACCACAACCACAACACACAACCACAAGCACAATCACAACCACAACCACAGCACACAACCACAAACACAACCACACACACACAACCACAAACATAACAACAAACACACAACCACAAAGACACAACAATAAACACACAACCACAAACACAACCACAAACACACAACTACAAACACAACCACAAACACATCCACAAACACAACCACAAACACAACCACAAACACACAACCATAAACACGACCACAAACACACAACCACAAACACGCAACCACAACAACACGACCACAAAGACACAACCACAAACGTACAGCTACAAGCACAACCGCAAACACATCCACAAACACACAGCCACAAACACACAATCACAAACACAACCACAACCACAACACAGCACACAACCACAACCACAACACACAACCGCAGCACGCAACCCGAGGACCCACAAGCAAAATCGATAACTACAATACTCACGACCATGGCAACATGCTCCTCACTATGGCATCAAGTCAAATGATTGAAATGTCATGGTGGGGATCACTCGAAGTAAAGTAATTTTTCTGTGTGCGGCTCAAAATGAGGGATGCCACAGTCAAACGCAGGGTACTCGTAGGGTGTTCTTTGCTTTCGCACGTCTTCCCCTGTTGGAAAAACACCCGTCGACAAAATTGCTACTACGTATAGGGCGAGTGGGGCGAGTTTTCTATCGCTCGCCCTATAGTATAACATATTATATACTGCCGAGTTCAATGGAGTGATACTGCATGGCCGGTTTCATGTGCTCAGTCAGATGTTCATGTCACATGTTCTGGTCAGATGTTCTGTACATGTCACAGGGCTCGAACTCTGAAATCCTTGGGCATGGGCCGGCGGAGGATTAGTTTATCAGTTGGTTGAAAGGCAACCAATTGCAAGGACCTAAGGATGGGTGGTTCCCACTGCAACCCCATGGTCGTTCCCAACTCCTAAGCTCTTGGCCAATGGATGCCAATGGCAAGTACACATCCACGGGTCCACAGGATGTTTTTCTATACCCTCACTGTATACACTCCATGAGTCATTGGGGGGTCTTACTGTGGCGGCATCTACTGTATTCCAGTCCCATGGAGTGTTTGGGAATGTCTGGGTCATATCATATCACTTGGGTACAGCTCGGTTTGTTCGGGGTTTCTATTTCACGGAACAGTTTCCGTCAAATCATCTGCAAGACTCGTCAACCGCGTTGGTCGGAAGGCGGGGTCGCACAGCCCACCGGGTCGATCGGCAGGATGAGCGGGAGGAAGAGATTCAGATTCAGGTCCTCGGAAAAATGGGAGGCCAGAGCAAGTGAGAAGCAACTGAGGAGCAAATGAGGATGGATGACCTCTTTGCATCTCTTTGCTGCGGGTGAAAACACCGAGTTTTTTTCTTTGCCCAAAGAAAAGACTGTGTTTGTCGGAACAGGCACTCTGAGTTTGCAACCGATAAGGTTCTCAATATATAGATATAGAAGACAACATTTTGGATTCTATACTGTGCCTCTCCAATTCTGGAGCCATGGCCTCTACTGGAAGTTCTGAGTTCGGCTTTGCTCGTCGGCCGTTTCAGCCCTCTTGGGTGACGAGGTGAAGATCTGGAGGAATCTCTGCGGAAAGCAAGCAACATGAAGGCGTGTGGAATGTTCCGTCGATGCAGGCGTGTGAAAATGCGGTTCTTCTACACCAGGACGCACTAGAAAAGTTGGTGTTCAACTGATATCCGGCCTATTGGGCATCGAGTTAATGTTGAGGCCCGGGTGGAGAAACCCAAGCAGTGGGGTTGGCGGTCCAGGTCCTTTTACACGTTGCTGTTGATTCGTAAGATCCAAATCCAAATCCAAACCCATTTTGGTGTTCTCAATGCACTGGAGGAAGTCAAAGAAGTGATCGCGTCTTCTGAAGAGGTCTTCTTCAGAGTCGGTCCTGCAAGGACATGTGTTGGGATCAGAGACATGACACAGTGAAAACATGGTGAAATGGAAAGGGAGAAGGCGGAGAGGTCTATATATGTGTATGCAGTGCTCCCGTTTGAAGTAATGGGTCAGACCATGTTAGACCCAATATGACTATAGTATATATATATATATATATATGTTTGCACAATCACGAAAGCGATCTCCGAAGGAGGTCAGCTGAAGTTTCAGTTTACCCCACCCCGCCACTGAGGACCCCCCCCCTTAACGTATTGAAGCGATATTGACTAGGGGGGTGCCCAAAGGGACACGACATCACAAACATCATCCCCAGGGAATTTTTAAGGTGTTCTCACATTCATCGTTGTCATCGCTTTCGTTCCCGCCTCTCAAGTATAATAAATGCCCATCGCTGCCGTGACTGCCATGCCGGTGATGAACGTGCTAGACCCGTTGCGCGGCGTGCTGGGGTTCACGGCTGCCACCGTACTAATCCCACTAGTCCTCGCGCCCATGAGGTTCCGGAGCGCGCAGCGTGCTGAAGACATGGCTGAAGAAGCCAAGAGCCTGGCAAAGATCAGCAAAGTGATGTATGAACAAGAAGAAGCCGACCGGGAGGCTAAAGCCAGTGCCTGTGGATGGAAGCTGCTCTTGAGCAACCCAAAATATGCCCTTTTTGCTTGTGCTGACAGTGGTAAGAAACTCCTGGTCGCTTTCCAGGGTACTGCTGCTCGTGCTGGCCTGGCGCATGACGCGATGATCCTCTTCAATCTCAATGAGTTCATGCCCCTTGTTGAAGAGGTCATTGATGAGGTCAAAACGGTCGTGAAGCAGACACCACATAGTGACATAATAGTCACTGGACATTCGCTGGGCGGAGCCTTAGCTGTTCAATTAGCTAAGTCTCTCACTCAAGAGGGCAGCTTCCGCCGCGTGAGCGGCCACGTCTTCAACCCCGGCTCGAGTTGGGACTTTGATAAGTACCTGACAGAAGAACGGTGACTTGGCTGATGGACTTGGACTTCAGATGTTTCCCAAGGGGTAACGTTGACCCTAGAAATCCCACAACGAGAGTCTTGACCAAGGTAAATTGCATCAAACGGGCATTTTTTTTCTGCAGCCATTGGACGTCCGAGGCTGGAGGGAATCACGGCGCACCATGTGCTAGGGGACATCCTCAGCGCAGGATGGAGCAAGAGTAAGATGGTTTGCTACAAGGCGAAGCATCCGAACCCTCATGCCCTGGCCAATTTCATCGGTTTCATGTAGCTCATCGTGCAGACGAATGAGCACAGGGTTGCCTTTGGAAGTCACCAACAGCGCCAAAGAGCCAGCCATCCGACCTGAACGAGCTTTTGCAAAAATGGATTCCAAAGACGGTTCTCTTAGTTGAATTGCAGAAACGGAAGAGTTCTCTGACCATGATAGCAACGTCGATCAATATTGAGATTCCCATTTGCTTGGTTTCAACCAAGCAGTGTTCCCCGGTATATCTGCCATTATATACATACATCTATTATCATCTAATCTGTAACATCTGTATATATGATGTATGTATGTATGTATGTATGTATGTATGTATGTATGTATGTATGTATGTATGTATGTATGTATGTATGTATATGTAATGTTTGTCATCATATGTATATTAGTTTATGTTCATATCACTCTATATATATACATATATATGTTATATATTTACAACATATCTCATGCTGTGCCCTCTGAACTCTCAAACTTCACCTCTCGGTCGCCTCGCCTGCGCTGTCCAGAGCGAGTCACCGCAGCTCTTCCTGGAGTCCGTCGCAAGGTAGGTGACGGCGGGTGGTGGGAGAGCAGGAACGAGCTGCATTGAGAGCGGAGCGAGCAACAGCAAGGTGGATTGGTGAGAGAAAGAACGGTCCATTCTTGGGTGAGCATGAAAAACCATCCATGAGACTATATGTATACTGACTGTATACATACATTTACCATATGAAAGTGACCCTAAGGTAGGTACCGCTTCCAGTCCCATGGATGCTTGGGATTGGACATGGAACATGGACGACTCGTGGCAAACTGTGCCTTTTCTTTGCGCATTCCCTGCTGCTTCGGTCTTTGGCACTTGGTGTCAATGCACCTGGGGAGGGCGTCGTACTTGTGAGCTTGTGTTAGTTAAAACTTGTTAAACACTTGTTATATGATTTATGCATGTTCGCACTAGGATGGCAAGGGATGGCTAGGGCTCCTATCAAGACAGCTGAACCAAGATGAGTTTCAGACAAGCAGTGGTGTGCAGCTGCCAAAGGCCTGTTCAACATAATACAGAAGCTGACCTAAAGAATTTGGGACTGATAAGAAGCCAAGGAAGATGAGGGACAAACAGGTGTTGTTCAAGTTTTTTTCTCCAGGGCAAATCTTCAGAAAAACCAACCAATCAGTTGTCAATGTACAACGTATACAGTTGCAGTGAATAGAGATGTGTTTGAAAAATGTTTCATGTTTCAGGCGTAATTTCTCTTAACAGTCACCGTAAACGCATTGGAATATTGGGTGACAGTGTTTTCCACCCTGTCATGTCGCTCTTCAGGATACCCAGCCACGAAGGACAATGGCGGTGTTTCGAGGGAGGATAAGGATGGGAAGGATCTTTTCTTATGCATTTTTCTTGGAACAGGTCTCTGGAGCCTCCATGGCTCTTTCCCATGGCTCTTTCCGCATGGCTCTTTGGGAATTTTTGTGGAGCAACAACTCGTGATGTGATGTGTTCTAGGCGCAGGACAGATAGGAACAATCTAGATGGGGTGCCCCGATGCTTTGACGATAACCGGTGGCTGAAGCTTTTCGTCCACGTTTTAAGAAGTCTGGTGATGAAGAATGAAGATATGTTTTTCGGGGTTTGAACTGGTCATACGGATTGCAGGAGCCCCTAGTAGCGTCCTTGCTCCTAGTAGCAATGCCCCTCGTTTGGTTCGTTTGATGCCATATGTCTTTTCGCTGCCGCGCTCCATCGTGCACGTGGTGGAGGAGTCTCCAACGCCCCAGCCACATCCCAGGGAAGTTTCGCCGAAGCCCATTGGTAGAGCATATATATATAACTGAATCAAGCCTCCAAGCAGGAAGCAAATTTATGGCCTACATATGAGGATGCTGCACAAAAGAGTGAAGAAGACCGGGTTTGATTCCAAGATCTTCACACAGAATCAATCAGAATCATACTGTTTACTTTTGTTGCCAAGATCATCCAAAAATTGTGTTATTCAGCGAATCACTTCAAGGTCTCCAGTACGATGATTTTTGCCAGAGTGTATGTTCGACCGGAGGTTTCGAACAGTACCTATTGCTTAATACTGAACAAAACAAAGCAGCGCATCTGGTGAGAGTTGGTTTGCAGACCATAAATTGTTGCAGACCTTAAGTGCCCAATGCCTTCGTGAACGCCCATGATTGAATTCATAATTCACTCACTTTTGGTCACATATCCTTTTGAACCGGTTTTGCTGCTCTGTGGGCATATGTGTTGTTCAATATCTTTCTTTGGGTACCTAGAAACACTTCTACTTGCTTCTACGTGAAAGGGCTTTTGAGAGTCAACCGATATCTTAGATAGCAAGTTGAGTGCAAGATCAACAACACTTTTTCCAGAGCCGACAGTCGACACCCACATAAATTCAGCTGTCGTTTCTGTGGATTTCATTGGGTCTTCACACCGCTTGTTCATCTAAAAACCATGCTCTTTATGACCTGGATCTGTGAACGGTCCACTAAAGGATGCTAGTTTGTTGGCTTCCTTCCCAATGAACCACTCACATAATTATAGTTGGTGATGATCAACAACCGAGGCCCCCTGGAAAGATCTGGAAAGATACGCTTTCTTAGTAAGTAAGAATCCTATAACACGTGTCAATGTCTCCGACGTTGGAGATCGCATCATAAGTGCAACCCAACGTTGGAGATGGGAACCCACGTGAGAACGCTCCAAGCTTCTGACGTTGGACGCCAGGAGAAGCCAGGACAACAGCTGTTCCAGGGTGAGGAGGAGGCCCGGATGGAGGGTGGGGGTGGCAGGCCCCTTCCGACCGGGCACCAAGCGGAGGCGACTCGGACGATTCGGGTTTCAATCGAGCATGATTAGAACATTCCGTTTGCATGAATGATGCAAGAATGAGCCGTGTTTTGGGTTCCTCATGTCTTTCACAGCTTTCATGGACCAGGTCCGAATGTGTTAGGTCAGTGTCATTTCTCGCCTTTAATGTCTATTCGTTGGGTTTGTCCCATTACCTGTAACATCCTGTAACAGTGGGTAAACAAGGACATCACTCTTTCTAGGCCTTTAAAGTTACCATTATCCACTGAAACCTGGTCATGGGATATACCAAGTATACCATGATATACACCATTTCACTATTTATTTGCTTTGTTTTTGTTTCGGAACATTGGATCGGGGAAACTCTCGTGGCCGCATGGATGGAAGCAGTGGTTTTAAAATAAAAGGAACGGCATTTGCAGAAGAGCACATACATGCACATACTATTTGTGAGAAGCTCGAAGTTTGTTTGTGTAATATAGAATATATACCTATGTCAGTGTCCTGCCATGCCCTGCTGTTCATCTCCCAGGTATTTTCGTGCCAGGCACGTGTCGATTTGCAGGCCCGACAAAAACCACGTGTCGATTTGTTTGTCATGGTGAACAGTAAGCGACACATCTAAGACCTCCCTGACTGTAGGTGGTGAACGGGTCGTTTTACGTCATGCCTTAGTCGCATGAGGCAGGTACATTCGCTTGTTGATGGTAAGACCTTGAGCGCATGGCTTGATTCACCGCGTCGCCCTCCAGAATTTCGCAGTTTTGGAGCGAAAAGCGTGCGATCGACGGAGGAGATGGGAAGAGCTGAAGGCTCCGTTGTATTCGGCCGCGCCGATCCCGGATCTCTTAAGTTGAGCTATGCACCGAAAGCCGATCGCTGGTCTGTCCTCATATTAGCCCCCAACAGCCATCAAGACACTGTTTGGTAGAAGGATGTAGAAGGAAGAGTTGCCCACTAAAAATGTCTCGGAAATCGTTTAGTCCTGCAGTCCAGCACTTCTGACAATGCGGCGCCCAGTCCTCCACAAGAGATCCAGACCAATCATCTTCAGATCCACTGGGGTCTCATCGGTCAAAAAGGGCAGCTCGGCCCAACTTGCTGACCCAAACCAGCTACGTGAGAGAAACAAGACAGGCCTCATCCTTGTTTAAATCCAATCTGATTTGGGGTGATTCTGAGCCTTGGAAGACTCTGAGCACATTCATATGAAAAGAACCGAGGTGGTCAAATTTGCTCGGTGGAATGAGGTGGAATGTCTGGTGAAGCTTCAAATCTACGTACTGTGAGTGCTTCAGTAATGTAGAACCTACAGTAGGTCTTTGGATGGCTTTTGGAGGGTGCAAGTTGGGTGATTCTGCGTTCCTGACAAGATGTCGGAACCAAGCCTTGGGTTTACCCAGGCAACCGACTGGGACTTCTGTACATCCAGTTTCACGCTTTTCATGTTCGCCCCACTCGAATGCAGTGAGGGGCGATGGTCTTTTGCCGTTCGGGCGTTTTTATTCACTTATCAGAGCGAAAAGTTGGGCTTGGCTGACACAGCGAAACGTTGAAAAGGCATGAGAAGGTGAAGCATCTCCACAGCCTGACCAGTTCGAAGGCTGGGAGTGGTGGTCATTAGTTTACAAAAGCTTTGTTCAGACTCTCTGGGCCGTATTGGTTGGTTGATGTTGGTGACAGTGTATTGTGTGTGCTGGTCATGTGTTGGTCAAGGCACAGGGAAAGGAATATCGGATGTGTTTCCGCAGGAATCTATTGCTGATCTTCTCTCGGACGACCGACGCGGCGGATCTTCTCTCCGACGGATTTGTTCGAGGCAGCCAATTGGCTGTGGAGAGCTAGTCGGATGGACCATGGAGACAATGGGCAAGATGTTGTAGATGGATCGAATGTAGACTCACATGTAGGGTCCAATAGATAGAATCCATACTCCTCATGGGGGGAGTGGTCTCTACTCACAGACTAGCAGAAAGTCCCGAGATCCCATGACTGGCTGGGTGCGAACTTCAGGCTGGGAGGATGAGTGAGCTTTTTTTCGCGATACACAAGTTGAGGAAGGCTACAAAATTGACGCGGAGGTTGGTTGAAGAAGGACATGTGCACCATGCTACACAATAAATGCTACACCCCGGAGTGCAGTCAAAGCATGTTTTTCAGCTACTATTGCCGAAGCTGTGCCACCTTGTCCTGCAGTGTAGTGATCCTCCGGGTGTCTTTGCGTCTCAGGCAAGAGCCAAGAGGATCAGGAAAAGGCCTCCAATGGACAGGCCTGAGATCATCCGAACCACTTCGCACCACAGGCAGGAAGAAGAATAGGAGGTGCCAAATGGAAGATGGGTGTGGTACTCCTACCATAGATGTGAAGTTGGGGACGGAGTTTAGTTCCATCTTCATGATTGGTGTGGTTACTCTATGGTACTTTCCCGCAGACAAACATGAAGATGGGACCCCTCAACACCATTTTCCTCGATCCGAGGCATGTTGTCCTTATACCTTCCTTGTGAGTGTAGGCCCGCAAGATTCCCAGGCTCTGTGTGAGTGCCCTAGTGGCCCTGCTTCACTCCCACCGCACAAGGAGATTAGACCTCGGAAGCAGTAAGATGTACAGGAAGATGGCCTTCCATTCAAATAGAACAAGCCCCACCTTGTAGAAGAGCTGCTGGCCATGACTGGACGCTCCGCCTTGTATATCCTATGGGGAGGAAACCAGCTTTTAGCAGTGACTTGAGCTTGGACAGGTCCAAGCTCGAAGCCTTCTTGCTACATAGACTGTAGTGGTGGCCCTTCGGAAGACTCTATTCTTCGCAGATGCATGGTAACGCCTTCGGAAGACCAGGACATGCCTTTGATGGATAGCATGAAAGGCCCCCTAGATCATACTGTCGCCGCCGCTTTGCCCAGCAAAGATGGTGGTACCTTTGTAGACACTGATGTCGAGGGGGCCAGAATTGGTTCTATTTGGCTAGTGAGAGTCAACCTTGGCCGTCGATAAGTGGTAGACGTTTCACCCAAGGCCACTTATAAGTAAGGTTCCTGCAGGGGTATTAGAGATCAAATGATTGCCGGTCAAGGGGTTGCTGCTTTTCCTAGTATACAATTGAACGGATACACTCCATCACTCCGCAGTGAGAGGAGTCCGACGATGAGGAGCTGAGCCTCAGCGGGAGGGGGCAGAGGATCAGAGGAGAAGAAGAAACACATAGTAGATAACTAAACTGGAGGATGTCCTGCAAATATTTGGAGAAGAAGAACATGTCCACTGCCCAGAGGAGAAGAAGAACTTCATGTACTCAAGTACTGTATTGGCTTTGTCAACTTCATGTACTGCGAGTGGAGAAGAACTGCCTCCCCCATGAGCGAACACCACCTCCAAAGGGGGTCTTGCATCTCAATTGGGTCCTTTCCACCGGTGGGCTGAGGGGTCGCCCGTCCGACTTTACCAACGCATACAAAAGGACAACTCCAGGTTCGGGCCCAAAGCATCTAAGCCCGACCCTAGTTTACACAGAGAGATTGGCTGAATCCAATTTTGGGACCTCAAGTTTACCTGAAGTGTTGCAACTCAAGGAAATCCACGGTGTGTCTATCTTTTGATGTGCACTCACGGTACTGTATAACTTTGCCTGCCACACTCGAACAGCATCAATAATGGCGACAAGTTTCCTTGTCAGATGGGTGAAATTTCACTTTGAGGATAGGATAGCATTCAAAAATTCAATAATCGATGTTCTATATATACATGTTTGGGATTTTGGACATGTCATGTGTCGAAATCCCACTTTCCTGGATTTGATTTGCATCTTCTTCAGCCGTGGCACATCACATCGGCCGATCTGGTCGCCCATCCGTTCCGGTCGCAGGAGCCCGTGCCCAAGTTCAAAGCCATCGCAGCAGGAATGGTCTTTAGCTCAGGGGAGCATTCAGTCGTGGAGATCGTTGAGTGGAGAGCCTCGAAGGTCTGGATGGATGACACGAAGGTTGAATCGGAGGACACGGAGGTGTCGAACATGCAGTATTTGATGAACCCACAGGTCGATTTGCTCCACCAATGGCTTTGGGGTACCACTCTTTTCCCCTCAAATATGCTGGGGACTCCCCAAATCGTTGTTTGTTGCCCTTTACTTTTACACTGCAAATTGTCCATGAATTCCAAACAAGAGACCTATATTAAAAATTACCAAAAGATACGCGACTGGTCGTCCTCCCGGGTCGTTCGGATGAGACCAAGGGGGCGGCCATCGTTAGCTACGGCGCCGCTGACACCTTTGCACAAGGCCGGACGGGTCGCCGCAGGGCTGTGTGAGACCTGTTGAAGACCTCGATCCCCCGTGGTTTTCTACTTTAGATGACTTTAAAGAGTGTATGTGCTCCAGAGATTCGCTCGAGAGGGCTCAAAAACTCAACTCAATCCGCCCAGCGCCAAGCACACTCCATGTTCATGCGTTTTCAGAGAGGGAGCTTTGGATTGGTGCAACCTTTGTGCCGGAAACCAGGCGTTCTGCATTGCGAATAATTACACAAGTTTGAGATCAAGATGCAACGACAGGGGCAACATCAACTGAGGCATGAATTGCTGGTATGATTTAGAACTCTTGAGAAACTAGATGCTCAATCCACAAATCGGAGTGGCACAGATTTGCTTCAAAAATTCAACACCTCCGTGACTTGTTCAAATGGCTCATTTTTCGGGCCAATGGCCGGGGAACGTCTCTATCTGGGAGCCATTGTAGAAGCCATGCATCGGCAGACGAAGCGTCCACAGATCTCAGTTGGCTGGCTCAAGTAGCCCGTGAATTGGGGAACTGGGAACCTCGCGTTCGGGGACGGTATGCAAAATGAATTCTTTTTAACGCATGGTGCAAGTGGTTGCTTGCCTCACTGGGAAACTGGGAATAGAGTGTTTTGATGCAGGATGCAGATTCGTCTTGGCAGGCCTTGATGAGTGTCAACATCGTTGCCCAGGTTTTTGTGACTCCCTAATGAATCAGCAAAATATGTTTAATACAACATAAACATGCTGTATTATACTTCAGCATTCCTTTGGCTCTCTTGAATTCATCTCTTTCTGTCTCTCTCTCTCTCTAAACAAGGATCAACCCACCGCCTCGTTGGGTGAGACCAAATCCACTCCTTGTTCACTGAGAAACTGTTCTGAATCCCAGGCAATCCCAAATCCGCTTCCAGGAATCCAATCCGCGCTAGGAGACAGCAACTTTGCGGAGGATGTCGTGGACCTCATGCATTCTGCGTACACCTCCAAGGCGATAGACAGGGTGCAATCGGGTGAAGAGGGGAGAGTTGGGAAGAGAGATCATTTTGAGTGTGGAAAGAGGCGTAGTATTCTGGGTGTATACAAGGACCTTCAAAGTGACGGAACTTGATATCCCGCACTTAGGCCCGTAAAAGGCCACTTAGATACTTCAAAGAGATCACATTGAAGGTTCTGGTACAAATTTGTTTATTCAGAGGTACTGTGAATGTCCACTTTCTCAGAGATGGGCATTGACAGCTTGGAAGGATCGGACTAGCTTCCCCTGTGCCGAAGTTCTGACCCCTGAGCCGACATGAAGACATTGCATCATGTTCACAGACCAATGTCCAATGCCAGACCAACCGGTTTGCTGGGCACCGATCGAACGAATGGAGCGGAGAGCCAGAGATTGGTCGCCCTGTCCGCCCATGCCGTTCATAGAGTCATTTCGCATAGAGACAGCAGGGCTACTGCAACATTGCTGCTTCATTCAATTGTGCGCTGCGGTGCCTAGGCATCACGTGTTCAATAACCCAAGTTCAAGCTGGACATGAAAAAGGAGTTTTTTTTTTTTAAAATACACATTACAAAGATGGTGGAGAAAGGAAGCTGGAGAGTTCTCACTGCCAAAGGAAGCTGCTGGAGAGTGCTCACTCTCAAAGAGCCCTAGACAGCGCAGCGCAATGCGCGATGTGACTAGTCACTGCGTCTGTCGGGAAAACGGGCAAAAAGCGGTCGGAAAAAGTGGTCGTGACCATAGGAAGCTTTTGAGAGATGATCTCTCGCGCAATGCGCAAGTGTACCAATATTTAGATATTATATTAATGTTAATCCAAAATATATAATTTTGGGAGTGAGCAAGCTCCACCTTTCGTGAATGGATTTGATCTTTGCCCACAAGACAGTCTCTCCACTGGTGAGTCGTGTCTCCTCGTCGAGGTGGCCATTTCCGGCATCGCTTCCTTGGAGCACCTCGGCTGCTGCCCAACCAGGGCCCATGTCCGATCCGGTCTACAGGGACAGTCCAAGTCGGGTGGGACAGTGGGGGTGGGACTCCTTTTTGGGGTTCAGTGATTTTCTTGAGTGTTTCAGTGTTTCAGACAAATTTTGAGAGTAGATATAGTTTGATTCATGTTCGCTGGCTTGCAGCGAGCTGTTTTGATGGGAATATGTATATCAACAGTCTTTTAAATCTGGTGATTTCAGGATCACACCAGTGTTCATTTCGCATGGCATCATCCAACAGCCTTCGCGCTTCGCTGACTCGGCGCCCCAGGCGACATGCCGAACACACAGTGGCGCTCCCTCGGCACTTGGCGCCCAGAAGCTCAGAGGATCGGTTGAAGTGCAAAGCGCTCAGAAGGACTGGTCTAAATGGATGGAAAAATGGCTACTGAGCCACTGCGGTAGTTGGACTATGGGGGTTTGGGGGTTTGCGGTTTTGGGTCGGTTTGGCTGGTGTTTGGTGGTGGGAACTCGAAGATGAATGTTGTTGGTCAAGAGGCGGAAAATGCAGGGATTGGGGATCTCAGCCACAAATCTGAGCATGATTTGGTCAGGGATCTCAGCCCAGAAGATGTCAGGGATCGTCTCGGAGCTCCAAGATGACTTGGTGAATGACCCCTTCCAACAAGAACCACTGATGCAATCGTTTGACATCCTCTAAACATTTGGTTTTCATTTCACATAGACAACTCCCGCCCCATGTCTTCCCAGTTTCCTATATCTGTCCTATCCCTTCTTAGATCTGGTGCCGTGTTGGAGCCATACTGGTCCTAATGCTGTGTGGTCCTTGTGCTGCTTAGGCGAGGGCGTGGTCCTGTGGTGCGGATGTTTTGCCATTCTTTGGGCTACTTCTTTGCTGTCGGGGGCGTCTGGAGGCGTGGGGGTAGACTCACTGGGAAGCTAAGCTTGGAAGAGTGTTTGGGTAAACTATTGGGTCACCTGGTTGGGTAAGAGAACCCTGAAAAGACTAGGATGTGGAAAGGGCTGATGTTTTTCAGAATCTTGTTGGGTGGTTCTTTGCATGATTTTGCTTTATCACAGCGGTTCTGCCTGATCACGCTGATCAAACCGCAGCAAAAGCACCAACCGCAGCTGAGTGGCGGTTGTCACGGTGAATCGACTTCGTCATTTGGGCTTTAGAACATGGTGCGCTCACTGGTGTGCTCTTGGAAACTACGTGGAACATGGACTGCAAGGCTCAGCCATCCGGTGGTGTTGGAATGGGGTTCATGATCACATCCCGCACCTCCGAGTTCACCACACCTGAAGCCATCCCAATGAATATTGTGCTAATACCATACATCTCCTTCCATGGAGTCTTTGGGGGTCGTTGTTAGGCTCCCCAAATCACACGCACCATCTTTTGTCTCGGACCATCTTCGCCATTTTTCCGCCATGTTTGTCTCGTGATCAAACCCTGCCGACCAACTACGACAATATCCCGCCGAGGATGTCTTGCTGATTGCCTTCGGCGGCCTCACCCGGAACCTGCCCTCCATGTGGGCAGGTCGGTTGATCCACCACATCATCCAGGCGTTTTTTTGCATTCTGTGCACATGTTCCGTTTGGCGGACGAAGGTGGGAGGTGTCGCCGAATGTGTGTGGATGTGTGGTTTTTTCCTCAGAAAAAACATTGTCAAACTTATGGTGTTTTTAGCTGCAAAAACAAAAATACTGAGTACTGTAGTTTGTCAGGTGTTTAATGGAAAGAAGAATGAATACCCAGACCCTCTTTGTCCACTGAGTGTTTGCTAATTTCAATTTGTTCAAAGGTTGTTCAATTTCAGCCAATTCAGGCGTGTCACCAACAGAGAAGTGGCCATTCTGAACCGTGCAGAGCGAGCACTGCTTGAAGATCGGAAACAGTATTCAGGCCAACAAAATCCCAGTCAAGAAGCGCAGGAAGTGCAGGTTGCCCCAGCACAGCTGCGTTGAAAAGAGCCTTTTGGCAATCAGATAATCAGAGATCATCGGCCTTAGACCAGGAGATGCTTAGAAACAACCTTCCGGGGTAGTGCCAGTGGTCCAGCAAGGGAGCTAGTCTTTTAGGTGGTGCATCATGCGCACCTTTGTCCAAGCTGCCGTCTGGGGTCCAACATCGCCATTGAATGAAAACGACTCCTGGTCCACCTGGGAAAGTGTTTTTGGCTTATGAAGATTATGAGAATGCAGTAATCTGCAGGCATTTAGAACAACTCCACTATAGATCGTGCTCATTTTGCAAAGCCGGGATCCGTTTGGCTGCCATGGCATCACCGCCTTCGTAGTTTGTACTTGCGGCGTGTGATGTGAGCATCCAACGGATGATTCTCCAATCTAAAGTGTCTTGTTGCACGTAATTTCAGCCGTGCAACTCCTAGGAGGTGGGGCCCTTGGTCTTGGAAAAGACAGCAATAACCACCTCCAGGAGATGAAAGAATCGAGGGGATGACCAAATGGTTGCCACTGTTATGGGGTCCTAGGTCTCAGGTGGTGGAGAGCTGTTTCTGGGAAATTGTGTGTGCCACTGCTCAGTTCCTGAGAACGAGTTTCCCAGCTCAAAAACTATATCTATTAATCTATTCTTAACACGGCAACCAGCAGGGACAGGAAGATGTTGTCCAGACCCGCTTCTTGGTTGCTTTCTTACTGTGGCCGAGTGTCTTTGGCCAATATCCTTAAGGATCCTTAAGGTGAACTTGGCTAAGCATAGAGCTTAGCGCGTCCAGTGCGAACTCCTGCACCTAGGAACACATTGTGGAAAGAATATCCTTGTAGAGCAACGCTTCAAACGGTGCATCATGGTGCATCATTGTGCCGTTCAAACGTTCTGCCCAACGGTCAAAGGCGGGGTGGTCCGGTGTTCCATCTGGAACCCTTGACGCCAAGCTGTCGTGCTGAAGAACCACTCGCGCCAGACCTGTGCGAACACACCGTGCATCTTCCGGACCAGCCCGTCAGAAGCACTTGCCTTGCGCTCGGTGCTGTGCCCGGGTGACCCAGTTGAAGAGACCGACAGCGGGGTCACCATCGATGCGTTTCACGCCGCAAACAACTGACAGATCGTGAGGTATCGGGGTGGTTCGTTCACTCGTTCCTTATCCAAAGGAGTGGTGTTTCGAGCACAGCCCCAACAAGTGCATGTGTTTTTGGGTTAGAGCGATAGACCAGCAGCAGATGTGGAGATTGAAGTACCGATTGAAGTCAATTGGGTGTTGCGTTAAAGATCATATCACGTTAGTACTATAGTGGGGAATAGAGGGGGGTAGGTTGAGTAAAAGGGAGTGATGAGATAGATGCTGTCACTGACTCCTCATGAGTACCTGGCTGATTTCTTGGATTTGCACCCAGCATGGAGTGTACATACTTGTGATCTTGGGCGGTCTGTTCTTCGGAGGTCGTTTCTGGGCAATGCGAGAGCGCAGCGGAGAGCTTTCTTTGGAAATCTGCGATAGCGTCAATTGACAGAACTTCTGTGTTTATATGTTGTTGATGCAACCCTCTTGTGAGTTCTTTTTGAACAGCGGTGGCCAAGCTGTCAGGCATTGCCTATTTTGCAGAGTTCTCGAATATTTTCCTGCGCTTGAGCAACCTTCTGCGGAGAAGGAGCCTGCAGTAGAAGAATCACAGTTTTCTTTGAACTTAGCATTGACCTTTTCGTTGCTTGTGTGCTTCTTTTCAAGAGACTAGCTTGGAGTCAATCGATGCATCCATTTGCATCTTGCATCCTTTTCACCTCTCTATGGCCTCGAAAAGGCATCCACTTCCCCATCACAAAGGAACTCCGATAGAGTCCAAACACAGTGCCTGTTCTTGTGAATGGAATGCTTGATTTTACCAGTGTGAGATGTATCAATGTAAGCATAGATTCATTGAGAAAACAGGTTTGTCACCTGCAACCACTAATCTCACTTTATGATTTCATGTTATTTATATATATATATTCTCACTCCCTACCAACATTTATCAACCACCTATGGTTTTCTTGGTGAAAAGCCATCAACATGTATGTCTATGACCATCAGACCATATCAGACCAACGAATCCTCCTTCTTCCAGCGACCCATGTGACCCCCATGTGACCGACCGCTCTGCGGGTCCTTCAGGAAGAGCCCAGGACGTGTCCTTCAAGCCATGAACCTCGCAACTTGCTGTAGAAAACGGGGGAGCGAGATATGATATGTATATATATATATGTATATACATATATATGTACAGTTTATATATCGTAATATTTGGTTAGTGAATAACTTAGATATAGACTCTAGATGCCAAGAAACTGGATCTCAAGAATACCACGTGATGGGTGTTCTAATAGCCATCCTCCACGACAGATCTTGGCCTCGTGGTTTTGAATGTTTTGAACGGTCACGGGGACTTGGGCGGGTGTTTGGTGAAGATTTTGGGAACCAAGGCCCAGGCAGGTGATTTGCTTTCAGTGTGACATGGGATGGGAGAGTCCTCTAGGTTGAGTATTCGACCGTGGCGGGTGGTTCTGGCTTGATTAAGAGAGGAGGTCTCGGAGATCCATGCTGGATGTGCATGGATCCCTGAAACTCTATGAAACCTGCACTTCCTGTACATTCCCTATTGCACGTCTCAAACCTCCCGAATCCTCAAAGGACCCCCACACATGCATGTATTCCTTGCTTCACCCCAAGCCAACCCTGCGAATCGCGCAAGAACCCCAGGCGCTTCTGGGCTCCTTTGCCGTAAGCCGCCTGGGCAACTTCTTCTTTGCGGTGCGCATCTTCTGGCAGGCAAGAAGCTACTAGGGGCTCCTGGCATCGCTACTGGGAGCAAATAGCTATTAGTAACAAAGGGCATCGCTATTAGGAACAAGAACGCTACTAGGGGCTCTTGGCCTTACTACTAGGAACAAGAAGGCTACTAGGGACTCCTGGTGGTTGTCGTGGTCGTCCGACTCCGACGCGGGAGGGGCGGAGGTGGGGCATCGGTCACCCACAAGATCACCATAAATACGGCCATGTTTGTATTGTGTATCCTCAATTTGCAATCAACAGCGCTGGGATCTGAGTCTGCAAAACACCATGAATACATAAGCTTCCTCACAGCAACACCTTGGACTGCAGAAAGATAATCGTGGAAGGAGGGGAAGATAATGGAAGATATGCTGGCCCACACAGGTCCAGTGTCGATTGATTGGGAATGTTTGAGGCTCTGTCTCACAATGACTAACATCACATAACACTGTAGATATGTGTATTTTTTTGTAGATTTGTCGTGACCTAGGTCAGACACCCCGTGAAGCCATTAATCTCTCATCTGGACAGCAGCTGGACAGCCGATCCTTTCCGAGAAGCTGAGAGAAAGAGAGTTTTTGCGCTTAAAACATGCTTTCCATTGAGCCTACAATCTCCAAACCCAAAAATATGCCACTGGTGTCTTGCCTTTGTTCGGCAGGCCAGAAGCCACATCCATCCACAGATCTTCAAGATGTTAACGAGCATTCAGGCTGGAGAATGCGGTTGAGCAGTCGAGAGCAGCAAATGGTTCATATGAGGTATTGCTAATTGCTTTAACCAGTTTCTTTGAGACTCAAGGAGCAACCAAGTGCAGCCGCCGACTCTTGCTCTTTCAGTCAACGTGCGGATGGGTCAAAAGCTGTTGGACCAGAACATGGCGATAAATTGGTGCCCACATCTTGTTTGCTTGGTGCTGTACGAGAGGCATTTTACATCTCATTGTGCCACGATCAGTGAAGATTTTGAGACCCAGATTCATGACGATCATGGCATCTTGAAAGTGAGGATAGCTAATGACTACTCCCAGGTACACAGCTTCTTTTACTAGTTACTAGGTGGATGGCGGAGTAACTGCCGTTACTGAATGGTACGCTTATGGAGAACTGGGCGCTCGAAGCGAAGAACGGGTCGACCCGACTGTGTTTATTTGCTGGAAATCTGCCTGGGAAATCATGGCTTCGGCAGTTGCTTCTTCCAGCAGGTGTCTCTTGGGTCTCCTTCATTGGCAGTTGGATGAGGTTGTTGACCTGCATTGGTTCTTTTCATGCATCGGTTTTCCATTGGATTTGGTTCATGAGAAGCTTTTTGGGTTCAACTTCTGTGCATCCAAAATCCAGGGGATGTCTCTTGCTTGGGTCTTTGCTGAGTTGGCGAAGGGTCTACTTTGTTCGACCAGAGTTGCCCCGTAGCAACAGTATGATCTTCGTCCACATGAGGCATGCATTGTGTCGCAAGTGCCACAAATGTTCACTGCCACAAGAACGATCTGCAGGTCTCTGGCTACCTTTTGAACCTACTTTGGTTCTTCAAAATTGTCAGGCTCTCAGAGCTTCGGTGCTCTTGCTTTTAACCTGTCCATTTTTGAACGAGCTTATCATTTCGTCCCCGTAATGTCTAAATTTCATCAAGAAATATGATTATAAAAATATCATTTTGTCCCATCGATTTGACCATAAGGCCAAAATTGCGATGAAACCAGCCCAGAAGTTGGCTTAACAATCACAGATTCAAAATATGTATATATATATATTATTATTATATTCATTATCAATATATATATATATATATTTTATATATATATATTCTATTATCGATCGAATGCTTAATTTATTTTTATAGACCGATTTAAAATTAGGTTTTTGGGGATATTTTGGATATTTTTAATAAATAAATATTAATTTGGAATGATATTTAATTATATTTTTTAGATATAATTGTACAATTTAAATTGTATAATTTAGATTATAATATATATTGTTTAATATTGAATTAAAATATATTAAATAAAAATATAATATGAATTTCGAGCAATAGACATGAGTTGAAGTTATTTGATGATAATTACGTTCGAGTTTGCCCTCGTCGCGCCGCTCCTCTATAGTGCGTTTGAGTCGCATGACGTGGCCGCCCGTACTAGATCTTGAAGAGAAAAGGTCCCTTTACTACAGACGGAAATTTAGAGCGTTCCGCATCGACGATGAATTCGGTTTGATTTCCTTTCGCGTTTTCGTATTTTCACATTGGGAGCGGAGGCCATGTCTCGATCCCCGAAGGGAAGCTCGCAAGCAAATGGTCAAACCGAGAAGACCATCTTTGGAAAAGATGAAAGAAGTTACATCCCGCGCTTCGACAACACGATGACCGGCTACCGAGAGTGGCGTAAGAGGATCCTGCTGTTCGCCCGCCGCCAGGCGATCCAAGGAAGAGCAAATGAGACAGGTCTGTCAGTCCTGTCGATCTTGGAAGGTGCAAGCTGGCGCCAATGCGAGGACCTGGACCTGGACCTCGACGCCCTCGAGAAGGACGATGGCCTCAAGAGCATTTTGCAGAGGCTGGACGCCCAATGGCAGTATGATGATCGGGTTGAAATGCCCGACGCATTCGAGAAGTACTTCTACAAGACGCAACGTCGAGTTGGGCAATCGCTCCTTGAGTTCTGCACTGAGCACCAGTAATCCCTTCGAGAACTTCAAAAGTATAAGATATCGCTCCCCGAGCAGGTCGCTGGTTGGCTGTTGTTGAGAAAAGCTGGCTTGAGTAAAGATCAACAACAGATGATCTATACACAGACCGGCACCGACATGTCCCTCAACAATATCGAGAAGTCCATGTACATGATCCTCGGACAAGACTACAAGCATGTCCACCAACCTGCAGTCCGACGAGCTCAGAACCAAAGCTTCCAAGGACGATGGAAATCCCGCCAACTCATCCACATGGCTGAGGACGATGAGCTTTGGGAACAGGATGACTGGACAGAAGACTATGAGCCCGATGAAGATGCTTTCTATGAAGCTGATGAATGGTATGACCAGGAGTACGACCTCGTTGATGACCCAGAAGATGTGGCATACCTCCATCACACCGATGAGGACACGATCTTCGATACCGAAGAGTATGACATGGCAATGGCAGCTTACACTGATGCCAAACAACGGGTGCTTGAACTCAAGCGCTCACGTGGTTTCTATCCAGTGGTTGCTATGGTCGACAAGAACCAGCTCCCCGTCATGGCCAACGCCAACAGCAGCTCAGGTGGAAAGAATCCGAAAGGACGTGGGAAAAAGGGGAAATCAAAGTCCAAAGCACCACAAGGAAAAGGACCACAAGGAAAAGCTCGTGCACGTGATGCAATGGTGTGTCACCGATGTGGCAAGCCTGGACACTTTGCCTCGCAATGCAAGGCAGCAAGCTCTAGCACGACCCCGACCTCAGCAAAGAAGAGAACTTTGGAGGAATCAGATCCTCTCCTCACTGGCATGGTTCTTTTTGAGAATGTCATGGCCTGTGAGAATGACACCTCTCCAAAGAATGTCATGGCTTGTGAGAATGTCACCGCCTCTGAGAATGTCATGATTTGTGAGAATGCCACCCCTCATGAGAATGTCATGACCCTTGTGAATGACACAATCCAAGTCGAGTTCTATGACTGTGAAGAGTTCTTTGAGTGCGAAGACGCCTACAGCAGCTCAGATGTCCTCGTGTCTGAGCACGAATGGTTGGTCCCTCCAGAGATGGCAATACAGGATCAAGGAGCATCCAGCTTCCTGATCGGCACGGAGTACATCCTTCGCTACCTGGCTTGGTTGCAGCTTCTTGGAGTTGATCTCTCACGACTGGAGTTCAAGAAGTGCAGCAAACACTTCAAGTTTGGAGGAGACGCCAGTGGTCACGCAAGATGGCTCTTGTCCGTGCCCACGTACATCAACGGCAAGGCAGGCTTCATTCAGGCCTACATCATCTTCGGAGCCACACCTCCCCTCCTTGGGAGACCAGTGATGGAAAAGCTTCAAGCAGTTGTCGACTTCGGAGCCTACAAGATGCAAATCCTTGGCAGTGATTGGCTTCCAATTGAGAAAGGACGCCAAAACACTATGCTCATGAGGCTAGCTCGCAAAGAAGCTGGTCCAATGCAGTTCAACAACCATCAGTTCGACCTTCGAACTGAGGATGACCACCATGAGATCCTTCGCTTCGACGACTTCATTGAAGACATGAAGGCCCAGAGTCGCTTCAGTTGCATCAAGAGCAACCTGGAAAAGACCTTCAAGCCCTCCACGGTCTTTACGGCTGAAAACCTGGAATCACCTCCTCAAGAAGGTGAGAAAGAAAAGAACCAAGAGTCACTTCGCGGTTTTTGGAACATGGTGTTGGAACAGATCTGCAAGGAAGAAAGACGACTACAACGTGAAGTCCTTCATGCCCGTGATCACCAACCTGACCGACAGCCAGTGGTCTGGGAAGTCTATGTCGGACGTGGCAATGTCACCAAAGAATGTCAACGACTTGGTGCCAAAGTTCGACGATTTGGACTTGAAGATGGCTGGAACTTCAACAAAGCAGCCGACCGTCGTGCCTTCCTGCAGCTAGCTGATGAAGAAGCGCCTGATGAAATGTGGCTGAGTCCAAAATGCACACTATGGAGCACCATGCAGAACATCAACGTCAAAACGGAAGATGATCGGCTTCACCTCAAAGCTCGCCGACAAGAAGACCATGAAAAGCATCTCAAGTTCTGCCGTCGTGCTTATCTTGGACAGGTGCGCCGAGGTTCACACGCTCACATCGAGCATCCAGCTCACGCGCTGTCCTGGAAAACTCCAGCTTTCGCCAACCTCCCTGGCTACAAGGTTATTTTTGATCAATGTGAGTATGGCGCAACCACTATGAACGACAACCACGAAGAGATGCCCATCAAGAAGCCAACAGCTCTTCAAACAACAAAGTTGGCAATGGTCCGTCGAATGTCCAAGAGATGCAGTGGTGATCACATGCACCAAACCCTCGAAGGCAGCAACCGATGTCACAAGGCTGAGGACTATCCCGTCAAGATGGCACAGCATATAGCACATGCCCTCGTTCAGCCTGAAGGACTTGAAGAACAGACTTTTGCTGCTGGAGATGGCGATGAACAAGAGTTGACTGGTGTTCTTCGAAAGTTGGCCACCACCCATGGATCGGAAGCAGCAAGATTAGCATTCCGTCTTCATCGCAATCTTGGACATCCACGAAAAGAACTTCTAGTTTCTCTCCTTCGCCAACGTGGATGTGGTGAAAAGATCATCAAGGCAGCCGAAGATCTGGAATGTCCATATTGCAAGAACTTTGCAGTCCGCAAAGGTGCAGCTCCAGCTCATCTCAGCAGAGCAGAGAACTTTAACACCCACGTACAAGCTGATGTGATGTGGTATGACCTCGTGAGTGAGGATCCTGACGGAGCCACCAAGCGGAAGGGCAAGAAGATCCCCATCCTCGTCATGGTTGATGAAGCAACTCGGTTCATGAGTGCCCGAACCGTCCCTGATGAGCAAGGTCCTTCACTACAAAAAGCCTTTGAACGAGGTTGGATCCGACATCATGGCCCTCCAGAACGTCTCTTTGTCGATGAGGCCACCGGTTGGGCAAGCGACAACTCAATGAAATGGGCTGAAGAACATGGCATTGAAATGAGAATTTCACCAGGGCAAGACCACACAAGAACAAGCATTGTTGAACGACGACATCAACTTCTTCGAAAAGGTCTTGCTGTCTTCATCCGTGAGCACCAATTGACAGGACTTGTTGGACTCCAAGATGCCTTGAATTGGATTGTCCCCTCCTTGAACAACAACACCTTTGTCAACGGCTACACACCGTGTCAATTGGCTCATGGCAGGCAACCCAATGTGCCTGGTTTGCTGAGTGATGAACGCACCTCACCTCTTCAGCTACAAACGACTGAACAAGAACGGCTGTACAAGAAGCTTCAACTACGAGCAAGTGCCCATGCCGCATGCGCCAAAGCGGAAATTGACGTCAAGCTCAGAAGAGCATTGCTGAGAAGGTTCACTGGCCAAAACGAAGACCTATCTCCAGGAGAACGATACCTCTACTGGAGAGAATCCAATGATCGGTTCCACACAATTCAATGGCGTGGTCCAGCAGTGGTTCTAGCTGTTCAGCGAGATCCTGACACCAATGTGGTTGACACCTACTGGATTGCACACGGAACTTCGTTGTTGAGAGCTGGCAAGCAGCATGTCAGGAAGCTTCCGAACCTGCAAGGCTCCATTGGCTCCACAGAGCGTGCAATCCAAGCAATGGAAGGACTCCGACAGCGACGTGTCGTCCGCATCATCGATCTCGAAAGAACCAATCGCCAAAGTCTAGACGACATGGACCCTGACCACGCAGAGGCTGAAGAACTCTTGGCTCCTGAGGTAAACATTGACTTGGAACCACTTCAAAATGAACACCATCAAACGCCTCTCAATCAAGGAGATGCTTCAGAACCTCCAGCTCCGAACGAACCTCATGGTCAAAGTGAATCACCAGGTCATAATGAACCTCCCGAGCATCCTGTTGGAGAACCTGATGTACCAATGGACCCAGGTCAACTTCCACCAGTTCCTGAAGATCAAGATCTTGACGAACCACAACAACATGTGTCACCGTCAGTGGCAGAGCCAGATCCTGATCCGGAGTGGGAGCTTGATCCATTATATGCTCAACCAGCCGGCTCTCAAGAAACCT